ACCAAAGTTATCGCGATAAAATTGTGAATATTCAGTATATATCCCAGCCCTAATTATATTAAATAGAAATAGTCAAATAGATGCATTTTTATTATTTTACTTAAAAAATTTGGACCTGGTTTTCTTTAAACTGATTGTTTTAATTGCTTTTGTGTCCCTACCCTGTAGAAAGTCCAGACTGTTTAAGCAGAGTGTTTTTCGAACTTCTAATTTTTCATTGATTACATTGGCATATCATGCCATGTGTATCACCTGGTGATCTCAGCTTTGTTGAGATCTTCCCAATCAGTTTCAGACTGTAACACTCCAAAGAGAAAGGAAAACTTGAAATCGCATCTGTAACAACGTTCGTAAGTTGGGAAGAAGGAGGCGGGAACCGGGGAACATTCAAAGAAAATTTAATAATAAAATAAACATAAAATTGCACGACAGCCCCTTGCGGACGACTGTCGCGCACAAACAGAACCAAAACACAAAATAAAGTCCAGGCCTGGTCCTCTCTCGTCGTTCACTGTCGTCATGCCTCCTTTTTATCCTTCCGGAGCTCCTCCGTGAGACTCGAGACCGGTGAGTGGTGCAGGTGTCGCTCATTATCAATTACTCCACCGGCCTCACTCCGTTCCCACGGCTCTCGGCCCCGCCCCCACTTGTCACAGCATCATATGACCCCTTTAAATGTGCAACTGGTCAAACGTTTGGGCTTAGTCAGATTTTTATTTTTATTTTTTTTAAGTAGTCCTTATGCTCATTAAGGCTGCATTTATTTAATCAGAGAACAGTAAAATCTGTAATATTGTTAAATATTGTTACAGTTATTTTCTATGTTAATATTTTTTGAATAAATTTATAGTTATCAGTGTCACATGAGCCTTCAGAAATTATTCTAATTTGCTGATTTGTTCCTCAAAGAACATTTATTATTCTCAATGTTTAAAACAGTTGTGCTGCTTAATAGTTTTGTGGAAAAGTTCAAAAGAACAGCATTTATTTGAAATAAATCTTTTGTAACATTAAAAAAGTCTTTACTTTTACTTTTGAAACCAATTTAATGCATCCTTGCTGAATAAAATATTCATTTATTTAAAAAAAATTACTTTCTTACTGTGGATCAAGTTATTATTTTAGTGAAAGATTATGAAGATAAACTTTTCATCAGTCATTCGCAGTAAAGGCCCATTCACACCAAGAATGATACTTAAAGCATTAACAACTGTTCAAATTCTTTGATAATAGTGGAGTCAAAGCAAGTCTTGTCACTCGGCGGCCATCTTTGAAACGCCTCTTGGGCATGCAAGTGCAGCTCCTATCTCTTTGAATGGGGAAACATCAAATTCTCCAAAACTGTTCGCCAAGTTTAAGATTAAATTTCATATTTGAAATCACCAATGAAATCTGACAACAACTGTATCATAAATGTTGTTTATTTTGCTCAAATAGCGTTAAAAAAAGCTTATTTCTCAGGCTAGATCAGCCAGTGCGCATGCGCAGTCCTGAGCGCACATCTCAGAATGCTGACTGCTTCTATAGCAACCGGGACTAATAACGGCAGCTGCAGTGACGCACTGACTTTACCGATTAGGGATTGGCTCTTTTGTTTCGAAGGCGGTGCTTTGTTCGATCGAGCAGCCATATTGATCGTTGCATTTTTCCCCATTCAAAACTATACAAGTGACACGTCTCGGGTACTCTATAGTCTTTGGTGGCGTTTATACCACAAATAAAATGATAATGACAAAGGAGAACAATATTGCTGGAATCAATTTAATAACTTTTTTTTTCTCACCTGATGAATGATAAAAACATTGTTCTTAGTGTGAACAGGCCTTAAGACCTTAAGAAGGTTTCATTTTGATTTCATGTTAACAGTAAGGTGCAGTGTTTGTTTGTGCACTAACAGATGTTACCACACAGAATTGAAAAAATCAATATGGTTTCACACAAGTTTGTCAAATGCTCCATATGCTATTGGTTAGGCAAACGGATAACCCCGCCCCAAACTCACGCCATTGGTTAAGCCATTGTTGCTGGTCAGGATAGTCAAACACAAAGCAGTGTTTTCATAGCACCACAAAACTTCAGTGTTTCTGATTTTGGGGAGAACTGCTAATGTCTTATGTATAGTTGTCTGCAAATTAAGCAACAAATGATGACACTTTCCCTTTAGGTTTCTGTTTCTTAACTGTCAGAGTTTTTGTGTTGGCCACAGTCTTGATGAAGCATGTACAGTGTAAATAAACTGCATTTAATGAATTTTACATATGTGACCCTGGACCACAAAACCAGTCATAAGGATCAAATATTTAGAAAATTGCCTTTAAAGTTGACCAAATTAAGTCCTTAGCAATACATATTACTAAACAAAAATTAAGTTTTTATGTATTTACGGTAGGAAATTTACAAAATATCTTCATGGAACAAGATCTTTACTTAATATCCTAATGATTTTTGGCATAAAAGAAAAATCAATCATTTTGACCCATACATTGTATTGTTGGCTATTGCTACAAATATACCTGTGCAACTTTTTGTGGTCCAGGGTCACATATGCTCAGTGACCATATTCCTCTTAAGAGTGCATTACATACATTGCATACATATATGTATGTATGTATGTATGTATGTGTGTAAATATGTATGTGTATATCTTGGCTATAACATGAGATGTGGTCATAGAACACAGCCCTGAAAATCATACTGAGTCTTTATAGCACATTCTGACCTGAGGTTCAAGTTAGTAAGGAATAAATCTTTTGAGCTTTCTCTCCCTCCCTCAGCTGTAGACCCTCTGTCTGCCACGTAGACAATCTACTTCTGGTATATCTAACATCTTTTTTTTCTTCCCTTGTCCTTCCTTCCTTTTTTATTTCCTTTTTTAATCATTCTACCTTCCGCTGTTTTTACTCCTTTCATTCTTTTCTTCCTTCAGTTATTTAACCCTTCTTTCCATTTTTTACTTTTGCTGTGGTTTTCTTCCTCCATTCCTTCCTTTTCCTCAATTTCTTTCTTTCTTTCTTTCTTTCCTTCCACAGTTCCCTTCTATCGGTCACTCCATATGGTGCTTAATTGGATTTGCAGTAAGCTACTATGAAAGTTTAAGGCTACACAGTTTTGCCAGCTCATCCTTTGCTTTCCTCTGTACTCGTTCTACTGTCAGTAATTAAAGAGCTAATGTTTAGAGAGTAAAGGACCATCACTCTCCAGAGACTTTAACACTAATAGGATATTTTAGTGATGCTTAATAACAACTGTCTCAGTGTTTCAAAAACCCAGTTTACTCTTTGAAAATTAGTGTCCTGGCAATGTTACTAATTTTTAGTGGGTTGCTCTTTTTGGAAGTCCAATGTACAACCGACTTGCTTCCCAAATTTCCTTAATTGAGTTGATGTTCCCATTTTGGCCATAAGAAAAATGGAGCTTTACTGAATAGATTGTGTTTGTTTTGAATTGGAAACATAACATATGTTCCGTACATGTTGTTTCACCTAACTTTTCGCGTTTGGAAAATTCCTTCTTCACTTCTTCACACCTGTGTGCACACTTGCGTGTCGTGCCATCAAAACACTTCCATGACTATGCAAAGGGATTTGGTTATGCAATGAAGTGCCAAACTGTGAACACAGGAATCAGATCAGCCTGTAATTCCAGCAAGTCGTGCCTTGTGTCCTGCCAGAGCCTCGCGAGTGTCAGCTGTCAGTTTTAACCTGATCAAATAGCCTTGTGGGCCGTCTCCCAAGCCGCATTCCTCAGGTGCACCTCTCTGAACTTGGGTTAGGTGGATGACCTGGAACATAGGTTTCCAAAGTCAGATTCCCCACACGCAAGACTGCATTCACATACTCGTTTTGGGTTGTTACGAATGAAGAAAAACCTCGTCACACATTATACCTCTCTTCCTGGCTGTTTTTTCCCAGCTCTTACTTCCCCCATCCCCCCCTTTTTCCCCCTCACAGTTTAGGTTGGCAGAAGGCCAAAGAGGTAGAAGGGGGGAGAATGGGAAAGAGCGCAAATCGGAAGGCAGGGTTTCACAGAAAGACTAAAACGCGTCCATGAGTGCATGAAGCGCACGAAGGAGGAAAGCCAGCCCTCTTCCACTTTCCCCGAAACCATGTGATCTGCTCATCTCTCACTTACAGACAGATATTGTAACCGCCGGAGCCGGTTTCTGATATTTTCTTTCTCTTTTTCTGTCACATCCATCCGTCTTTGTAGCTATCTGTGACTATGACTGTGTGTCTGAGCGACCCTGTCATTCGTGTCACAGAATACCTCAGGCAGGTATGACAACGCAACGTTCATTAGGAACTCTTTCACCCTGCTGGAAGACTTCCTTTAGGGAAGACCAGATGAGTGATGTGTAAATGTTGCTCAACATTTAATTGTTGGTAAAATCATGATGATATCATACAGATTGTAGGTTCCCATGTCTTTCTCACCACCTGCAACCTGAACATATCTGTTATAACTTTCTTGGAATGGAACAACATAAGTAAAGAGGTGCATTAACTTTAGACGGGACATTTTTGGTGGTTCAGTAACAGTATTTGGATTTTGCTGAGGAATTTTGCAGCTTATTTTAACATTTGCCATTTGTTTCATGTGTTAGAACACGCATTGTATCCAACAGGGCGCTGATCCGCTTCTCACGTATTTGAAATTCCATGTCAGGATTTCTGTCTGACATCTTCCTGGCCTGTGGAGGTGCGGGGTGTACTGAAAAACTGAATTGGACATTTTGAAGAAGGGAGGGAGAAAATGTTTTTGTGTTAACTTTCTCGAACCTTTGCCCCAAATGCAAGTCGCTGGAGGAAATTGACTAATATTAATTGGTGTGAAAGAGTCTGCACCATTATCGCTGAATGAACTGAATGCTTGCCATTATGAAACACAACGCTGGATGTTTTGCTTGTGGCTAATATTTTGTATTTTGTGACATCCTTGGCTTCTAAAATTGACATTTTTAAACCTATTCGGAAGATTTTCTCTAACTTTACCCTTCCCAGGATCCCTCGAGCAGCGCTATCACTAGAGGAGCGCATGTTTCCCGCCCACTCTGGGGTGACGGCGGTCTACAGTGTGAGTGATCACACACACATGTACACTTACAGTCATTACACATCCCTTGAATGTATATACATAGACAAGTCCTAAGGCCAGAAACATACTTTAAGCGAATATGTGAACGTGTATAATCCTATTGTACATATTTTCTGTGAGTTCTTTTGTCATTATTAGTAAGCAGTTGATATACATGCTTTACTATCTGTCTAGGCTAGCTATATACATGTTGACAGTTTAACTAGCTTGAAATAATTTGCACAGCAAGATTTTCCTCAGACTGCTGTGCCATAAGTGTAGTTGACCTGAAAAAGACCACTTATCAATAGAACAGATTCAAACTTAACCTTTCCAAAAACCTTTATAAGATATTTAAAATATATTTAATACTGCGCACATTCCCAAAATTTAAATTTTTGTTATAGAAATTAATATATTATAAATTTCTATTTATATGCCCACTGTCATTCAGAAGTCTGGGATTGGCAAGATTTTTAAAAATGTTTTTCAAAAAATCTCTTTTGCTCACTAAGGCTACAGTAAATAAATGTTTTTTTTTATTGGTCTTATGAAGTATTCTAATTTGTTGAGATAGTGAATTGGTGGGTTTTTGTTAAATGTGAGCCAAAATCATCACAATTAAAAGAACCAAAGATTTAAACTACTTCAGTCTGTGTGCATTCAATTTATTTAATACACGAGTTTCACAATTTGAGTTGAATTACTGAAATAAATGAACTTTTCCACGACATTCTAATTTATTGAGATGCACCTGTATTTGATAATACAGTAAAAACTGTTTTATTGTGAAATAAACTAGAAACTTCACCATTTATTTGAAATATAATTTTTTTTGTAACATAAATGTTACTTTCCTTTTACTTTCTAAATTGATGCATCCTTACCGAAATGTGTTATATTTATATAAAACAATATAAAATATGCATATGGAAACAATAAAGAATAAAGTGACGACCAGGGTAATATACAACATTGTTATGTATAACTGAAAGGAGCTATGGTATGAACACTTTGTGTAAATGTTGTTTGTGGTCCTTCCACAGGTATCCAGACACCCTGGTCCTCCATACCCAGGTCACGACCTCGGCAAAACTCACCCTAATTTGGCAGGCACCCCTCCCGGCCATGCCACGTCCCCAGCCCTCTCTCAGGTATCGGTCCCTGCCGCCCCCTCGTACCGCTTCCTAAAGGGCTGGGAGACAGGTGGAGGGGTGAGTACCAACACCCTACACAACAGTCTACACAATTGTATGCTTATTCACCTGTTATTTTATCTTTTAAAGGGGTCATATGATGCGATTTCAAGTTTTCCTTTATCTTTGGAGTGTTACAAGCTGTTTGTGAATAGATAAGATCCCTAAAGTTGCAAAGACTAAAGTCTCAAACCCAAAGAGATATTCTTTATAAAAGTTAAGACTCGTCCACGCCCTCCTAAAATGCCACGTTTTAAACACGCCCCCAAATGTCTACGTCACTGTGTGGGAAGATTTGCATAACACCGCCCAAATGTATAAGCAAAGAAAGAAGGCGTAACTTTGATTCTATCTGTAGTATTGTTGCTGCCGCCGCCATGTCGTGGAGACGCTGTGTGTTTCGTTGTGAAAGCGAAACTACTTTATTTGGCCTTCCAAAAGAGGACATGACTAATAATCAGTGGTTTAGTTGTATTTACAACACTGTTCCCGAACAGTTTAACCCATATATTCGTGTGTGTGCAACGCATTTTACGGAGGACTGTTTCCTGGGAGAGTAGCCTACAATGTCGGTTTTCTGACAAATAATGCTGACTCACAGCCTGTAAGTATGTTTTCATATTTAAAGAATTCGTCACTGACGATTCAAACGCGAGTTTTGAGCAGTGTAGAGTAGCGCTTGTTGTTTGTCGTTTCTCCGATCACAAATGCAGACATGGTTTTA